GTTACTCCCTGTACTGCCCTAAACCACCCTGCCTGTTACTCCCTGTACTGCCCTAAACCACCCAGCCTGTTACTCCCTGCACTGCCCTAAACCACCCAGCCTGTTACTCCCTGCACTGCCCTAAACCACCCCGCCTGTTACTCCCTGTACTGCCCTAAACCACCCCACCCGAAAAAAACCAAGAATAGCACACTTTTCAACTGGGGAATGTACACGTACAAACATTATGTGCGTATCAAAACATGAGGTTGGTAGAGAAAATTGTCTCATATCAAATCGCAGCTTCAAACCTTCAATTCTTTGATCCATAGTTTGAGCTTGAGGTAAGTTACAAATACTCCAATGATATCCTCTTTCAAAAAATGTGACTAACACAGGAAAAAGATCAAAAATAAATTTGTCAGTTTCACCAGGAAGTGATGTATCGGATAGTTTTGGTGCACCACAAAGTGAGATGCCATCCAAAGACTTTCTCCACGATACGTCACTTCATGGTAATACCGACGAATTATATCCAGAAATCACTACCGTACTGTGCCAAGAATAAATTTCTTCAGTGGACCTTGATAAGAGTAACAACGGAAGGATCCAATTTCCTCCCAAAGTGATCTGAGCATAACCTCTGCTCAACACAAGGGTCAAAGGTCGTCAAAGACATGTAAGACTGCACTGCCCTCCACAATGCCCTGATGTTGCCCGCTCCAAATCCCGTTGCACCGTGTCTTTGGATGATCTCTAGAAAGAATGTGTCCTGTTCAAAGATGGGCTTGGTGAACGTTTGCATCAGGTACCTGACCCACAAAAAACAATAAGCCCCCAGAGTTCTTAAAAGAGCTACTAACAATAACAGATATAAGTGTACAGTTAAAACCAATACGTACACTGTTCATAATGCAGGCAAACAAAGTATCTCCAGGGTCAACTAGTGTCTAGCCCCCTTACCATTATATGTACTCCAAAGGACTGTCTGTAGAGACCAATATAAATCGGGTGCCTGAGTAATGGCTTCAAACTTCACAGTTTGAGGATAGATTGCTCATAATATTATGGTGGGGTGATCAACCAGTTTGTGTAATTCATTTTGCAGGTGTGCCAGCTCAAACAAACCCAACCTGATTGAGGAAGACCCTGATACGTAATAGTTATCCGACATGACACTAAAATCCTTGAGTGTGGATTCTTTATCTTTATAAAACACCAAGCTTTAATATGAAGATGACATACGTGTACCAAGAAATCATTATAAATTCTATTGGAATATTCAAAGGGCTGCATGCATTATTTCAATGGCCAGTGACTTCCTGACTCTGCCAGAATGTGCTATGTGGCTCTGTTTGAGTTGAGATACAAGACGATTCTGCTTCTTACTTGCTCCGAGTTTTTCTAAGATGCATCTTGTCCCCATCTTGGTTTCCTTCTTTGTCATCGCTGTCACCGTGACATGTCTCCTCATCCAGGAGGATACCCAGTCTCTGGAGGAGGCCTAGGTCATCTCGGATGCGAGAGATTTCAGTCAGTTTACCAACCTGTAACAGGGAAGAGGTGGGTCCTTATCTGTGTGAGGTCACTGCTCTAAGGATGGGTGAAGACAGCATAACAGGGCAATGCCGGTAGTTTTTTCCCTGCTCGTCACTGGGGCACAGTGAACACGATTTCAGCCCTCTCCCTATGACTTGAATTCAGACTGGAGGTCCTGCATTGGTTTTGAGATGGTCTTTTTAATAAGAAGAATAAGAGGTCTTGCCTCTAACAGTGGCTTTTTAGGAAGACTTTAACGGAGAAATTACCTTCCTTGGGGTGATACACTATGTATCTATACAGCATACATTATGAGTACACAGCATAATCTTTGAAAGTCTGTAGCATCACTACATGGGCATTGTTTTAACATTTGCTGAGCTCAGATTTGTCTATTGGTTTAATGCATGAACACAAGAGGGCCTTTCTTTTTTAAGCAGGGAACAATCTCCCACCTGTGTGTAGTAGGCTGGGGGTGGATCAATGAAATTGAGACCGGCCTTGCGCAGAGTGCTGACTGCCTGGAGGATATCGTGTGTGTGGAGACCGATGTGCTGGATACCGGCGCCCCCATGTTCCTGCAGGAATCTCTCCACTTGGTTGGGGCCTGGGGATTGCATAACTCAAAAATAAGGACTTGTGTCCCATTTTGCAGGGTTGAGTTTAGGTATACTAGTATACTTATACAGGGCCAGCAGATACATGTAGTCAGGGGCGGGGGAGGGTGTCCTCCCTCCAGAGAAAACTTGTTATCTTTCATTTGTGAAGAACCTGCCTTTTTAAAAGCATTGGATTGAGTAACACCTGGACTGCTGTATAACAGCTCATAAGCGTTGCGTATAACTGCGCCGTGTGTAACTTAATAAACAATGAAATTCTTTGTTGGTATTTTTTAATCATTCTGTTGTATCCTGTGTAACAGTACAAGTCCGGGAAAAGGAAACCTTCAGGTAAATAGAACAATGTAAATGAATAATTTCATCTGAGATTGGAATTACACAGAACGAATTTTACAACAAGATTGCACTAGTGATTGATAACGTAGAAATACAAATAGATTTGCTTGTAACTTACTAGATAATTTCTTTGGCTCACCCGTAGAATATACTCCTGGTGTGTACATTTGATGACATGAATTAGGCTTAATTTTCTCACATGTCAATGGTTTGATTTTCACTCTGCCTTCTGCTTGTTTATTCATGACCAGCCCACTCATTCCAGTTTTAGCTTCATTCTAATTACAGTGATATCTGGTTTAGCGACTAGTTCAGTTGTGGTGAATGTAGTTGATATATTCCAGCGGAATGTAAATTTGTGTCAATTTTTGACACTAGAGAAAGTGAATGGTTTGAAACTTTGAAACGATCTGAGTTAGATTCTTAATCAAGCCTCCTTTCTGTGTCTGTGTTTCCAGATATGTTGTCGTTGTTCCTGTATGCCCAATAAAATATGTACAGAAGCAACCATTAGGAGATCCCGCTTGTATCGCAGTGATCTGGAGTTGTACTTCTTGTCTGCACCAAGTATGTCTTGTTAAGTAATGAAACATGAAAGGACGGAAGTATACTTAACAGCAGATATTAATCCCCTTCAACCTCATGAAAAAGAACACCCTCTTGCATGAAAGAGGTCAGGGTCCCCCCCCCCCCCCCCCCCCCGAAAATCCTAGCCACATCGCTGCATTGACCCGACAGATTTTGGGCCTGTGACGTGTCTGGTGTCCTTGAGACATCCAGTGACCTGTTTTGTACACTTTATTTCACCTTAAAAATGTACATAAAAGCTTCAAGCCTCAACTTTTACACCCTGTTTCAATGTCAGGCATATTTGGATGCTCCTTTTCAAATGCTGGCACACATGCTCAATGCTTCCCTTTCCCTGAGGTAAAACCTCAAATAACAAGGACAAGGTGGTTTGCTTTAGCAGCTCACAGTCATAAAATTTTGTCAGTTAAAAATTTCAACATCGCTTACACAAAATGAAGCATGTTACTGGTCATTCGAACATCAATAACCACTTCTGTACACACTTAACATGCTACAGCTGACATCACATTACATGTAAGTGCATTGCCCTTGAATGATTTTGCTTTTTTGACATTTCAAATTGGCTCATTGGTTGAGTGGCTTTTCGAATGACCTACCAAATCTATTTAAACACACTGTACCTTGGTGTGGCAATGCCTCTGCAATGACAAACTTGGCAATGGGTGGGCGTGGCCAACTGGCGTCCTCCTTTTCCTGTTTGGCTGGCAGCGTCAGGCCGGTTTCTGCACAGTGCCAGTACTCCATGGCTTTCAGGCGGAGTCCCACATTTTTGCCACGAACAATGAAGCCTTCAGATTCGCTTTCTTCACTGAGATGACCCACAAAAAATAAGAAATCTTAAAATAAGCTTTTCGATGTGAGCTTTATCAAAATGCACATTTTGATGACATATAAGACTCAACTTTCCCTGCTTTTATCTACTTGAAAATTAATGAACAAAATCCAATGATTTTACAATGTAAATGTAGAAATAATTTTTATGGGAGATAACCAACCTTGTAAGAAGAAATCGCTTCATTCCAAAACATCTCTCGTACCACCCGAGAACTTCTGAGGATGAACCGACTGGACAGGCAAAGGTCACGTGATCAATGTGGCTTGTAAGGCATGCTGGGAGTTCTCCATTTGCGAGCGGTATGTCAGATCTACTCTCTACTGAATGATCCCTGGTCGAAACAAACCCAGGCAGAAACACGCCGTGGTAGTGAGAGCTGTCGACTAACGTGTGGACAACATTGCCGACACAGGATTGAACAGCAGCGATGGTCACGTGCCCGTTGTTCGTTGTGTCGCTAACAACTGCAGTCTGACACAGTATCTTTGCTCCATTGGTAGCAGCTCTGGTCAACGCTTCTCCGACATCCCTCACTTCAAATGCAATATTGAAAACTGTGTCTCTGTGTTGCCTTGATTGACAATCTGTACCACAGGGTAAGTTGTACAATTTTGAAAATTCAGACGGTTCCAGAAAACAATGATCTGGTAAGGCCTGCAAGTGAACCGGCTCCAACGTTTCCGGAACTGGTTGACATCTCACTTCAGTTTTTCGACGCTTACTTTTCAGGTGTGCGTTGCTATCTCTCACTGCTGAGGAATCTCCCATCAGAGCATCTCTTTTGACTTTGTCGGTGATGATGAACACAATCGACCCACTCCTTACAGCCCACTGCCTGAGGTTGGCGCTCTTACGTGAGGCAAACAGCTGGAAGTTGGCATTTTGCGTGAACTTCTGCAGATACTTGGTGCCATTTTGGACCAAGATTTGAACGTGGTGAACGTGAGCCATTTTGGGGAAACCTTGGCACTGATCACTGTGTAGAGAAGACAGAAAATGACAATGATGACAAGCTGCATCTGTTAGCAGATAGCACGGATTTCACTCAATTATTAGTAGGAAAAGTAAATCTGCCCATCGATTACATGTACCTATGCCTATCGGTTGATCTAGCAGGAAAATTTGGACTATCCGTTTTCAAAAAATACTTCCACAACTGTGCATTGGAAAGAAAAGGTACCGGTAATTGACCCACTCTGTGCCACAAGACTGAATGATGGTGATAGGCCATGTGCAATGCTTGATCTGTCGCATTTTATTTTGAAATTTCGAATTGTAAATTTTGAGAAAATGTGACTTTCTTACTGATGAACCTGCCATGCAAATTTGACTCCACCCATGTCATGTGTAAAAACACAAAGTTTCCTCTCATAATTTCCTTCAAACCTCAAAACTCTGCATCCTTTTTACAACATGAACTCTACAGTTGTTGAGCATGATGTCATGGTAATCTACTAAGGTGAGTCCAAAAGTTAAACTGAAGGTCCCCCTATTGGAATGTGGTCTCCAAATACATGTACACAGTCCCCTGTTTGTGTGATGTTTGCTCTGCCTGGATGCTTGGCCAATGAGCTTTTTGCAAGTTAAATTTGAACAAAAACTGGTACACTGAGTTCTTTAAATTCACGTGAACATAACCATTTGAATTGTCCCTACTGAAGACATTGTTGCTATAACTCGTGATTCAGGGCAAGCTTTTGCTTAGTTAGGAATAGGACTACCGTAAGAGATGCCTTTTTGCACCAGTACACTGTTTTCAGTGGATAAGAAGGGTGCAATGGAACCAGTCCATTCCAGCGGTGGTTGTCTCTGTGCAAGAGGTTGCCCCAAATCACAAGGTACAGCAATGGAGTCTTCAGTCTGGGGAATTCAAAGTATCATGTTTAGGCCTAGACCTACATGTACATGTTTATCACTTTAATATCAGTTTACATGGATCAGACCTAGGCCTAGCCTAATTATTCAAATTTAACTCACAAAAGGTTTATTCAGATACTAATGTTTGTACTTCTCACTCATCAGATTTCAAGATTAATGTTTTTCAACATTTTTAAAATGACAGGACATTATATCAGCATGCGCAGGCGTGCCCCCGAAACTGTCGCGCGTATCGCGCTCCTACGGTACGCGGCTGGCTAACGAAGGACCGCACAGGCTCTGGCGATAGACAACCGCCGTGGACATGGTGGAGCAGTAAGTACATGTATACTTACTAAACAGGCCTATACATGTAGGCCTATGAAATAAAATATAGAATAACCTTCCAGTGAAGTTCCACGTTGAGACTATCGAATCGACGTGCTAAGAAAGCACACATGCCACACGGAGGCCGGCTGAAACAAAGCGCTGGTGAAGCCTAGGCTAGCTTTGAAGATTACCTTCCTCCATGGTACATGTGTACTACACCGTAGATTGCATCACCCGCAAATTGCATAATTATATCATGCAGATAAAGGCGCCGCGCCCAGCCGGTCCCTGGCCCTGCGCTGCATGATAACATGAATGTGTACATGTAGGGCACATGTACCTGTACATGTACGTGTAAACGTACGTACACATCTATGCGGCCAAGTATTTAGTCTGGTTAACTGTTAAATTGTCAACGCTTCGAAAAGGAAAAAGAAACAGGTTTCAGACACATCGTCCCAGTTCGTTCGGCCCGCGCTTCACCTAAACCCATCCAGCCCAGCTAAGGCGTTTGTTGCCTGAGAAGAAGTGTTGGAGTTGAAGCAGTTGTTTTTGGACGTTAGCTATGTCACGGCAGTCAGGGTCGCAAGGAAATTCTTGGAGATACAAGGAATTACGAGGCAGACCTAAACCAGTGAGTCATGACAATTTTCACTCAACAAAAGATTTGCCGAAATTGCCGAGATCGAACACACGTATGCACAGTCTGTTATGTACTTCTACAAGGAAGGCTGCAGAGATGGATGCATGGCTGGCCATCATGGCCATGGTACTTCCAGAACTGTAAGGTTTATACAAACCTTAGAGATAACCACGTACAAACTCCCATAAACACATTTTAGCTACTTTGATTGTGCCAACTTACCCTTCCATCACAGGCTACACGTTTTTGTGCAACCAACTATTTGTGGAATCTGTAGAAAAAATGTCAATTAAAAAAAAGCATGGAATGTGAACAATGCCTTACATAGTTCCATATAAAGTGTTCAGGCATGATTGATGTCATCTACCAGGTGCATGTGAAACATAATTCTCACTCATTGTGGTTATGCTGTGGATGTAGCCTACCAAATTTCTAAAACTCATCTCTTTTTGTTTGTCACGACTCTTCCCAACTCCTTTATCAACTTGCTTGAGTGGGATCAACGGATGATGAAAACCTGAATATTTAGAAATGATACTTGTGGCTCCCAACGTGAAACTTCTGGTAGACCCTTACAATATTCTAGCCCCAAGAAACCGAGTTTCAAATGTTGGCCTAAATCAGATAGTGGAAAGCCACATCATCAAAATGAGCCGCTGAAAATACTTAGGCCTAAACATTTTTCAGAGTTTTAATAATAAAGTTGCCCAGTTCTAAGCATTGCTCGAAACAGGAGTTTCAGATATTGTTGTAGGGATGTAAACCCAGTTACAAGACTCAACGTATACAAGATAATTTTTGCTGATTTTCTGTAGTGTGGATGGGCAAAATGCCCTGGAATTTCACCATTTTAATGAGGATATAAAGTGAAGAAATCTCCCATCTGACTTCACCAAGAAGGCATGTATGAAATTTTGGTGCACAAATGGCTGAGATGGAATTGTAAGTTGGCACAATCAAAACAGCCAAAATGTCTTTATGGGAGTTTGCACATGGCTACAGTGTATCTGTTAGGTTTGTGTAAACCTTACAGATCTGGAAGTACATGTAGGCCATTGGCGTAACCTCTGTGGAAGTGACATGAATGACAATGTAATTGCCTTATCCTAGTTCCTACTGCCAGACATGTATCTGGTTAAACATGTGTTGAGAATTTGGTGTTCAATTTAAAAAGCTAGACAAGCAGACTTTTCCATAAGTTGATTTTTGTTTTTGAAGCTTGTGAAGCACACCCACTTTCCATATTTGAAATGAAGTTCTGTGATTGCATATTACGTTGGATGCCGAGGGAAGAGTTCCATACTATAGATCACATGACACTCTGTACACAGCTGCACAGGTGGTGCACTAACCCTATTCTGGTCTGAAAATTCTAAGGCAAGTGTTTTCTAAATAAATGATTCTATGATTTCCCTTCTAAATTCAAATTTTCAGGACATGTTATTACTGTGCAGTAGCTAGTTTTAGGTTCTGAAGACAACATGTTTCGCTAAGGTCATTTGTGGTTTTTTTTGTGTACTTCTCTCTAGCTTGTGATAAGACTTACATCAGTCAACCCGTACATCACTTGTCATTTGTGTGGCGGATACTTGGTGGATGCAACTACAATTATTGAATGCCTGCACACCTGTAAGTTGACTTCAACAAAAGTCATTCGAAATATCTGTACCTTTAACCCAGAGGTTAAGTTTGTAAATTCTTAAACAGCTATTTGTACCATGGGAATCTGGGTCATCACAGATTTGTTTCCAATAGAGGATATAAGTCCCAGTTTTCTTGAACAGGTCAAGGAAAAGTAGAAGGACATGTATGTAAAAAATGATAGATTGCATTCATGTGTCGGCCATCTTGAATTGAAAGTGAAATTAACTTTTCATATTTAGAACCCTAGAGTGAAAATAACAACAAAATAAATGTTCTTCACAAAGAAGTGCCAGTTTTTTTGAATAAGTTAAAATTTAGGAAGGAAAGAGTTTCATATATGGACAACACTTGATGCCCCTGCGCAGAAACCTATGAGACTTGTCAGAAAAGTGTTTTCTGAGTAAATGCTTCAGAATTTTCTCAGTTAAATTTCACTGTTTATGACGTTATCATTTTCTGATGGTTGTTACAACATTTAAAGGGAAAATTAGTGTTGTCCGTATATGGAACTCTTTCCTTTATGGTAAATATCTGAATATTTTTAGCCACATTTGAAACAACTGAAAGTGAAGTTTCAAAATAGTCTGGTGTCACGCCATTTACCAGATAACATTGAATGTGATTCATTCAGGAATACTATCAAAAATGGCGTGCCCGTGAATAAGATGTATTGCTTCAGCCTTTATCCTCTCAAACTTTGGAGTTTGGACTTGCCTGTTTGGTGTCACAAAATGCTGCGATTGTGGCAAACGGCAATGTTGATAAACCCTTTGGCCCAGTGGGCAGGTGCTACAGCACCATGGATCCACCATCACACTTGTACAGTATGTTCTAATTACTTCCCCCTGCGCTACACTCGCATGGCTTCTCACACTTTGGCTTGGCCCAAATAACCCACCCATCGAGCCGTTTACAACGGGGAGTATCCCACAATACAATACGAAAACCTTGTGGCTGGGTTGAGCTGCTGGTCTCTAATTCTGATGTACGTGATCAGTGAACTTGAAAGATTGGAAGAAGCATGCTGTAATATGTAATGTTCGTTTTTGAGATCAAACCTTGAAACTGTTGCAGGAATTCAGGGCAGAATAATTCAAATTTGATGCGGCTTAATAGAAGTAAGCTTGCTAGAAGTGTAATACCATTGATTACAGGAAAATGAAAGCATATGGTTTTGGTTGTACATGCAAGTTACATGTAGTTTTTATATTAATTGCTTATACATCACTGTAAAGAGATTTTTTTAGGAAAGTTAATACCAATTATGCAAATGTTTTAACCTTTTTCTTCACAGTAAACCTTACAGTAAATTAAATTTTTTCAGTTGGACCATTGTACGTAGCAGACAGAAGCACGTGCAGTGTAGCATGCTGCTGTAACTATGCAACGTAACTTGGTCTTTGTTGTGTTCATTGCAGTTTGTAAAAGTTGCCTCGTGCAGTACCTGTACACCAGCAAGCGATGTCCCACCTGCGATACCCTCATTCACGAAACCAACCCATTCAGTTGCATCAGGTAATTGGGGTAGGGAGAGTCTCCCATTTTAGAGTCCCACCTCAGGCTTGTGCTGCTACAAGCGGGGAGAAACGGCTGTTTCTGATGGGAAAAAGTGTAGAGACGCCACCTGTGTCCTAGTGAAAACACGAATGCATATTCGGGTATGTTCGCCCAAGATGAGCCCAGTTGGAAACGCAGGAGGAACTTGGCACATTTCCAGCGGAGAATTTCTGCTCCCAGAAGTAATGCCCTCAGTGGGAAATAGGCTGTGTTCAATTTCGTTTTCCGTACATATGTACGTGTGAGTCATCTGGGGATTGTAAAACATTCACTAGTTTGCTTAGTACATTTCATGGAAATTGTGTGAAGGTATTTGCTGCATCTGTGTATAGTCACCATCTTGGCTTTTATAAGAGGATCCCCACTCTTCAAATCTTGTCTGTGTCCCTCAGGAACATTAGTTTGGAGAGCTGTGGTGTCCAAGTGTAAACTGTTCACGATTTTGCTGATTGACCTTATGACAATCAAGAAAATAAGAAGGGGGTGTGAAATCTCAGGGTTTTTCCAAATTGTTGGAGTTTTAGAGGTTCACTCACTTGGGTTGTGCTATTACATGTACACGTATTTTGCACTTTGTACGAAAAGCCAAGTGCAAGATTAACAGAATTATTTAAGTTACACCTTGTTAGCCAACAAAATATCGCAGTAGTGTCATAGTCATTGTTACAGCCTCCCTGGTGGGTGTGTTGCCTCCCTGGTGGGTGTGTTGTTGATTTCCCCCATATTTTATCCCTTATGAGAAGCAGTTTCATTTGATAAATACTTGATGTATACAGAAATATTGGATGTTTCTCTGTTTGTATATGAAGTAGCAGTAACAACTATGCTAACTTCCACATAGTTTCACACAGCTTAGACACTGTATTTTCCCAGACTGCTGGGTTCATCAACACAATACACAAGTCTTTTTTTTTGGCCAGGAAGTTACTTGCTAAATTTCACAAACGAGCTGGAATGCTGTGGCAGGTTTTTTGAGTGTACTTTGAAACTTTCTCGGGTCATCGGGTCCCATGTAAAGTGGCAGTGGCTGGGCTGTATGTGCTTCGTTCCTGGTAAATTTTAGCCGACCTGAAAGAAGATTCTGAAGGATAGCTGTCTGCTTTTATCATTGCACGTCTGTGATCCACTGTTGCTGCCGTAGGGCACTGTTCAAAAATGTGCAAAGCTCAAGTGCTCTCAAGCTGATTGGTAACAACCTGAACCCCTCATCCTAGTACTTGTACAAGTTTTGCAAGATGCCTTGACTTAGCCTTTACTAACAGGCTTATTGAGTCACTTGCTTTCTTCTAAATATCAAGGACAGGTACTGAGTGAAGAAAATCATTCTTTATTTTACAGACTTGACAGAACGAAGCAAGATATCCTCAACAAACTCCTTCCGTATGTCGCATCAGGTCAGTGCTGTACGGAGAATATTGAAATGAGGAGCAACTAGCTCCTAGGGAAGAAAAGTTGGGCGCCAGGTCGATTTTTGTACATACTGTACTGTACACATATTTGCAAAATACACAAGTTACATGTACAAAAGACATAGAAACATTATCCTGTCAATTATCTGCAGGACAGAAAGGCGTTGGAGGTTTTCTTACGGAATAAATAAAAAATGGCAACCAGTTATATGAAAAAAAAAAGCTGAAAGAAAAGACAAGGCATGTTTGTTCTTTTATTTCGTACCTGGGACTGGTCCGGACCAAGTGAAGCTTTGCTTTCAAATTTCAAATGCATTTGGGACTGAAAGAAGTTTACTGCACTGGAATCGTGGAGTGCATAGACTGCACAGTCTAGGCATAGACTGCGTCTCAGCTCCCCATACACACTCTATACAGCGTGCGACCACAAACCAGTCGACTTGGGTACGTAGTACCTGTACGTACATGTGTGTTCCTACATGTAAGCTATGTTGCAGTTAATGTGGGCATATGCTGTGTAAAACGGAGAAAGGACCGCGTGATCATAGAGACACAGCGCTCGGTGCACATAGAAGAATACTGGGCAGCGATCGTTTGTGAAATATGACTGACAAGGTGGGCGACTAACGGGCACAAATCATGGTCGCCGTTGGCGATAAAACTTAAACATTTGATCGCATTATAATCATTTTTCAGGCGCAAATGAGACTGTTTTGGTCGCCCTGTACAGCGCTGCATCAGGTACCTGAGATGATGATGTTTGGATAGTAGTGGACGGTAACTCAAATTTTCCTCTTTTAGTTACATCAAAAAGAACTTGCTGCTTGTAAATTGTAATTGTTTTTCTTGTTGCCTTTTTATACTTTGTGCAGATGAAACAGAGAACCAGAAACTGTTCTACAAGAGAAGGGGAATCACAGCACCTCAGAAAGGTAATTCAGCTGAAGAAAAGTTGAGGAAAACTGTCAATCTGTCCAATGGACACTCGGGAAAACATTTAGTAGAGGTGTTCAGAGTTTAGACTTGCTGCTTATGAATGTACTCACAGTGTGTGAAATGAGACTGCTGAGCTGAACATCCCATATTGGGATGCATTCTTATCAGTAATGAATTGGTGGTGGTACTAGCCGCTTACACGCAGGAGTGAAATGAGCTGGTACCACTGATGGATCCTCAGGTATATTCAAATCTCTCGTTTTTATCTTCATTACCTCTGTCTTCTCGCTTCGGTGTGACAAATTTAGTCTCCCTCCTGTTAAGACCCTCAAAATTCAATTCTGCTCCATATTCTGTGACCTTAAGGTCTAATTGCTCAATTTGAGGCAAAGTTTCGAGTGTTTTCGTTTGGTTTGGACTTGTGTTTGTTAGCTGATTAAGGAGCTTGAGATATGGAAAAGGGCCTTGGCTCCTGTATGTAGGCCACACCAGACCCTCTAATGGCCATTAACAAGTCGTCTTTGTGAAAAATGAAACTTCAAGCCTGGTGCCACAGAGTCACCAGGAATTCCATATAGTTCTTTCACTGAAAAAAGCACGAAGTCAATGTACTTTTGACGCCATTTTGCAGTCAGGTCAAGTTAATGCAAAACTGTTTGAAATTTATTGTGTGTGTGTGTGTTATATTCAGGGGACTCCCGTACTCCTAGTCCATCACCCCCTCCCTCGCTAACTCCGCCGTCGTCAGTCTGTCATATTACAGACACACACATATCCATACTACTGGAGTTTATAGGGTAGGTAGTCATTGTGACAAAAAGTCTGCACTCTGTTACTAGAACACAGAAGGCCTGTTTGTTTTGAGCAGATCCATCTGGATTGCGATTAGTGATCTGTCACTGGTTCACTGGCGCCAGAAACCGGCAGAATGGATGGAGTAAACCAGCTTTGGGACCTCCGCTTGAGATGTAGATCCCCTCCTAACAAACAGGCCTAAAGTTTGTGGGTTCCAGTTGGCAGATAATACACAGTAGCCAAACTTCAAGCTACATGCACGTGTTTGCGGCCACTACTGCTTTTTATGCAGAAAGACAGGTTTTTTCTCGCTAGTTGCTCCGGATTATAGGCAAAGGTTGTTAATATTTGCCATTTGGTGACACTGGTGGCTTCTAGATGGATTGTTACATAAATTTGGGGTTCAATTGTTTTTGTGGTGTCCCTGTCTCGTCTGACGCAATATTAAATTGAAGTTCAGATCACGTTTTTGTAATTTCCAAGAGTGATTTACTCATGCAAATTAACTGCCAAGTAAACTTAAATAGTTATAAGTAAATTTCAACTATAGTTCCAAATTGTATGGGTGGGTGTAACCGGGACACACAAATCCTACACTTTTGGACCCTGAATTTATAGAACCCAGCTGGCACCCTAACTTTTCATTGAAACTTTTGAAGGACAGTGAGAAATTATTTGCAGCGTGTCATTACTTTTACTCAGTGCCTTTGTGCAGGTGTTTGATTGACATGGGAGTATTCTCATATAAAGAATTCAGCCATTTTCTCAGTTTGTTCAATCGGCCAAAAGTTCAGTTTCTGCTAGCTGCATGTCCCCAAATTCTCTCCCCAAAAGCCAGTGCTTAATTTTTCAGTCTTGCAGTGAATTCAAGGTTGTCGAAGCCACCTGCCATTTCTTTGCATGGGGCTTGATGTCCCAGTGTTGAAAGGATAAAAAAAGTTACTTTTTTACCATAGGCTAATTAATTGCATCAGATTTGGGAAGTATGTTGGTGAAAATGCTTTGGGGGGGGGTAAGGTTGCTTCAGTGCTTCCATTGTTGCCTGCACAGAAGATCTGAAGCCTGATATACCTTTTCACACACTCTCAGGGGTTGATGAGCTTGCAGCTCAAACTCTGAAACTAACTGAGGCATACTAAAAAGACCATGAGTAATCTCCTAATTTTGGCCTTCTTGTTGTATTTGTAGGGCATGTAACAGCTTCAAGAAGAACGGAGTAAGTATTCTGTCTTTCATTTACTGCAGTGTTGCAGGAACAGATTTGAGAAATCGGTGGCATTATTAGCAGAAAAATTGTAAATAGATTGATTGGTAGTGGAGGCGTTAAATACAAACAAATGATCCTAGGGCTTTTGATGACTACAGGAAGGCCCTGTCCACTTTGACCAAAATTAGAGCCCATTTGATGTTACCCTTATTCAAGAGGAATGCACGGTGGAACACTTGTATCCAAATAAATGTAATAAACACCACAGTCCCTTTTGGAAGAATCTGCCTTTTATGCAGGTTGTTTGAATCCCTAGCAAGTTAAAACATTTCAAAGCATAGGAAGGGATCAGGCACTGCAGTAATGGAAAGTACTGGAGTTCTGTGACCTGCCATGTCAAAACCTATTAGACTGCAGCATTATGAGCTATGTGGAAAATGATACCGATATTCGCGTGAGCAATGCAAATTCCACAACTTTCAGTGTCTGCAGCTACAGAGTTTTTTGCAGCCAAAATGTCCCCTTTCAAATCACTTTGATGTATGAAAATTAACGGTGGGGGAGAGTGATTGTCAAACATCAAAACAACCTATTCCAGCTCTGTCTTTGAATGGTTGGGTCACAATGTGTGGTAGCCTGTGGGGTTTGTATATGAACAAGACAGGAAGGGTCTTCAAACATTGGTAGAGGGGTACTTGAGCTGGTAAACAATGTAAAGGACGAAAGGGAGACACTGAACCTCTGAAGGCATGGGATGAAGAACCACCAAGAGGTGTTAACGAGCAATATTTTAAAACCCAGTTTGCCTATTATTTGAATGTTCTGTTGATTTTTATGTGGCATTGTTGGCCTCGCATGGATTGATTTTTTTCTGGTGTCTCTCCTACCCTAAGCAAATTCCCAAAAAGTTTGTGCGAGTGTCCCTGGATGCGTCCATCAGGCACATTCAGCGGTTCCTCATGCGGAAACTGCAACTCGGCGATAACTACGAGGTAGGGTTAAATTTCTTGAAAAAAAGACAAAGAAAAAAAAAGTTGGACTACAGGGCCAGTACCTCAAGGAATTCACCGGACCAGAACACATTTTACAAGAGCAAGAAAAGTAATTATAAAGGAGCTGTTTTGTTGTAGTTGTACACAATGTACTATGTTGAAGCTCTGGTAAGACACGTCTGTCCAGTGTGCGTCCAAATACACATTGGACAAGCGAAGAAAGTTAAGTTCACACAGCTTCTTTTTTACCAAAATTTTGAAGTAATTTGTAGATTTTAGACAAAACACTGCACTGCTGTCAGACCAACATTAAAATCACTGGCCTCAGTCCACTAGTCCAGTGGATATTTTGAGCCCTGTAAGCTTTGTGGAAAAGAGCTCTGTCTGCGTGATATTGTGAACTTGAAAATGGCCTGCAGCTTTTGCTCCCCAATTTTTAATGAAGAAACGAAAAATGCCATGTTGTTCCCCTTTTGTCTCAAGCAAATCGCTCATTGCCTCCTGGTCTCATTTTTGAACCCAAGTTAAGTTCATGTGAGGGCCACTGGTTGGTTTGAGGCTAGGTCGTGACATGCCTTATGTCTGCACACAAGCATCAAAGTTCTGTCATTGTCTTCGGATATAGTCAATAGTCATTGTCAATAGTCTTGAATTTGAGTTTTTTCATTGGCCCAAAACAATCGTTTGACAGGGCCACATAACCGCATATCACACTCACTGTTAGACATCATAACGGCCAGCATTCTTTGATATCACACACAAGCATGCACACACATGCCCCTGCAGTGTACATGATAATACAGGCACTGCTTATTGCTAATGTTCAAAGATTCCTCTGTTGCCCTCAATTTCCCTCAGAAAAACAATTGAAAAACATCAAGACAGAGATATAACAAAACATTTGTCGACTGTTGTGATGTGGAATATAACATTTGGAACACACAGGCTGCCTGTGTGTCCTTCAGGTTTTCAAAAGGTCATATCTCACATCACAGCAGCAGCACGCAGTCACTGCAAGTGTTGATATGTGTGGCTATTGAAAACCAGCCATGTGACAAACCTCAGTGGGCTTGTGCCAAATAGCTGTAGTCAACCAGATTAGTCCAACTGTTGTTGCTCAGCACACATTTCATGGATATTTGGCTTTGCATTGGGGATGTTAATTTTGTTCCAGGTTTTGCACAGTAACTAACAGGTGTATTCTCAGTGTGATGCGAAGGTTGAAAAAAAAAACCTCTTATAACACTTGGCCTACATTGAGAATACGTTGGATCCAAGTTTGCCACCTGATACTGTCAAACTTAATGGCCAGGTGGTGAAGACGTTTGCCTAAGTAAGCAGGAAGTCGTGAGTTTGAATCCCTCTCAAGCAGGCTTGTGATTGTTTTCCGCAACTCTGGAACTGCACTGAGAATACAGCGTGTATATACATGTACATATCAGAGTAAGGGCAAAAGCTAGTATCCTATTAACATAAGTTGAATCAGAGTTTGCCAAACTGGTTTTTACTCGTGCTTGCAGTGAGCAGTGTTTCGATTCAATAAACAATCGACCCGAATCTGGGACTGGAGCATTAACCTTGACAATCAGTTTACTGTTACAGATCCAGCCCGTGCCGATTCTTTGCTAACCTAACGTCCGTTAAAACTTCAACCTAGCTCACTCTTCTTTGCTGTTTATTTGGGTCTTATTTTTTGGCAGCCCTCATCTATTCTAGATTCAAGTTTAAATACAGTTTGTCTCACCATCCCATCAAAAGAATTTGACAAGGGAGAAATTTAGTCCAAACCTGAACACGTCCTTGGGTTGCTAATATGATTCTGTGCACCTTTTGGGCTTTGTGGTGTAAATCTGTTTTAACATGCAGCTGAACTGTGCTTCCCAGGTTGACATTGTTTGTGGTATGGATATCATGGAACCAGACCTGACACTCAGAATGCTCAGTGAGCAGGTGACGGATGACCAGGTTTGTCACTTTTCAAATTCAGGGAATGTACCCCAAACTTTTTCTTTTTTTGGAGATTTTGCTGGTTTCAGACAAATCCCTCTGGCTACCGTGGGAAACTATGATAATAAATACAGCCATAGTAGATTGTTAGCTAGAATAAAAATGTATTTTGTAATTCGGTATGACGAGGACAGTTTCAGTTGATGCAATGTTTGCCCAAGGGTCATCGGCAATTTTTACCACTGGGTATGCCCTCCACAGCTGTTATGTTACAAGCAAGTAGGGCTTGTGAGAAGTTACAAACTCAGGAGGGATTTGAACCCGAGTCACACTCCTTATTTTGGAGCTCAGTGGTCGAGTTTCAAGATGCTTGCACTGGTAACCAAGAGGTCATGAGTTCAAGCCCCACCCATGAAAGCCATCCCCCCATAATTCAAGCATGCTTAAAACGTGTTTTTGAGAGATATCCTTTGTATCATGTAATTTAGCCCTCCCCTACATTGTTGCTCATGGTTGAGAAATGCAAAGAAGTACGGCTGGGCACATTTCGAGCTCCCAATTTCGCTCAAGTTATGTCTTCTGTCTTTTGATTTTATTGATTGATTGATTGATTGATTGATTGATTGATTGATTGATTTTATGCATTTGAATCTGGGGACAAAATTCATCTCCCAACATGCAAAATACATGTACATGTATCTTTTCCCCCTCTTCACAGTTCCAAGACGGGTTGCTCCTCCTTCACTACAGTCTGGTAGATGCGGAAGTCCAGGAAGTGTACGATGTTTCCTGAGAAAAACGAAACTGACCCCGTCATGGCAACAGGCAGACTGAGTGTCGCGTCGCCAGCATTTTGGACTTTGTTGTGGTGATCTGAATCAAGAGGTTACTCTGTTTTGGATACCATTCATTTTTCAAATCTCAACAAATGTGTGAGGAGGCTCTGCATATTTGTACAGGATGCTTGAGGCTGTCTCTGAATGGTGCTGTGATTATTTCCTCCACCCCACCTTGCTTCCACCCACATCTTTGTGCAATAGCTGGCACCTGTCACTGCAAGAAATATCTATGCAAGGAAGTGTACATTTTTTAATGTGTAAATTGGCAAAACCTCTTGTCAACGAGTCCGTCTGTAATCATCTACTTGTGAAGTTTTGACCATGGAGGAATAAATGCTCAGTTTTCAGTTCACCTTTGCTGCTGAGTTGTTTAATTTCTTACCCACCTACGTGTGCAGTTAAGCTGTCCTTTCCCTCTGTTGCAGAACCGAAAATGTCTCTTTCAATGTGATCTTGCCCCCGTATCAAATCATGTGCAGATGAAGGGGTGTGGTTTTGTTGGACAGTTCTGGATAAGTGGTGTGCTTATACTGACAATACAGGATGAACCCATAGCACCTTACTGAAGAAAAACACAGTTTCCCGAGTACCCTTAAAAATCGTACTGCAAAATTAAAAAAAAAAAGTATATGTGTGAAAGCATTCAATTGCCATTTCGGAACTATCCTAGATAATATATTTTGGGCGTGAACTTGAAATCTAGGAACCAGTGGTCAGAAAACCCTCGGACATTTTCATAATAGCATCGCAGCATATTATACACACTTTTAGGAGTTTAAAGTAAATTTGGTGGTCATTTTGACGCTCTGGACTCCTGGGTGTGATCTGTATTGCTTAAAAGCTCCTAAGACATTCATAAATATGCAATTTGGCGGCCGTTTTGATATAAGGCTGCCACATCTCACCTGGGGAAAATCATGAGTGTCTCAGTAAATTTTGAGGGAATACCTTAAGCGAATATATACGTGGCCAAATTTGGTGCTTTTATGACAAAGTGAACGATAGGTTTGCTAGCTGCCGCACTAGTACCTGGTTTTTATAATTCTGAACCATTGGCTGGCATCAGTGGTCAGGTGTTCCAATTCTGGATGTTTGTTGAACCAGGCTAGCAAGCTTCCATCGTGAAGTATTGATTCCTGCAAGAAGGAAAAATAAAAGAACAGAAATCTGAGTAGGTCCACCTTTGGTGAATAATAAAGTGGACAGAGAAACTGATGGAAGGACTTTGTCAGTGTCCTGGCGAAAGATGTTCTACTAATTTACTCTGCTCAACCTAATAGTAATTGCATCCAGGGTATCCCGCACACATTAGCTTAGTCTTGACCTCGTTGGAGACTGCCTGGGAACATGAGAGTTAGTGTTCTTGTAATTCAATACTGGTTTATGTCTCTTGCCAAGTGGCCTTCTGTTGGTCTGAAGATCATCATTGCCTTACTCAAACGATCTTATCCATGGGGAAGTCATTTTCAATCTTGTTCTATGAATCTATCATATTTAGCACAGGTTTAATGTGTTCAGTGGTATGGTGCCAGGCTATTTTTGGTTCCAAGCCTCACCTTTATGTTATCTTATATATGGCTTAAAATATTTAGATGTCATTATTACAAATTTGGAATTATTCTAGTGTAAACTGGCCCTCACAGGTTCCAAAAATGAAAAATTATCCTCACTTTCAATCCAAGATGGCCAACACATGAATACAGTCTATTGGTTCTTTTTTCTTGCCGCAACATGTATGGCTGTATCTCATTTTGACTGCGCACGTGAGCTACGTTCATGCAAGAGAAATAGAAGAAAACGGTATTTTACGCGAAATCCACGTATGCTATTTTTTTGACTGCGACATTTTTTTGGTTGATAAAACAAGGTCATCACTGATATACCTGGTTGTTCATTTTCCAGTTGACCGTGCGTCATTTTTTTTTTGAATGCGTGCACAATGTTTATTTGTCAATATAACGCATTTCTGATCAGGAAATGCTTTTGCCCTGTTTCTGAAGTCGTTGCCGGTGAAGGTGGATCAAAAAACTCTCAAGGATCTGTTCGGTATTGTATTTCCCTGGGAGATTGTTTTCTGCTTGTTGAATGATTTCCGAGTTGGGTGGGCGCAGTGAACACATACATCGAGTGTTGCCTAGAAGCCTACAACAGTTGCTAAGCACCTCGTTGGTGGAAACCGCAAGACAGCTTGGCGCAAGTCGAGTTTGTGTAGCCAACATTAACAGCAGCCCTCCGCTTGCAGGGGACTTGGCATCTGGTAGCCCTTATTCTCAGGCTGAGTTCAATCCATTTTTTGGTGCTTGACAAAGAAGTTTTGTCGGTATTGTCATAGACAAAGCTGAATGGAAGAGGTTGTGGTGGCCAAGCCCCAGTCTACCCTGTGCCCGATATTACTTTGCAAATTTCGTTCACAATTAAATCCCGAATTCTCTGTCCAGAAATACATAATGCAACACGGCAAACTTTGGTTCAGTGGTCAAGGTCTTTGGTCGCTGATTTTAACACCTGCCCCCCACGTCAGCACTTTTGAAAAATCCTGCATTCATGCAGAATTTGGTATACGTAGCTCCTATGAATGGTTCGGAAAGTTAAACCCAAATTTTGCTCATTGAAAATATTTGAGCAAAAAGCTTTGTTTAATGTTGTGTACTGTTAAATAGAGACATCACCAAGAAAACCAAACATCCAAATTACTGGCAAGTTTTGGCGCTGAAGTGACTGTAGTATTGACATTTCTCCATAAAATGATATCACATTTTTTTCCATGTACATGCAATGTAATTTACACCAAAAAAAAAACCACATGAAAAGGGCAACATGGGAAAATTGAAAATAAAGTCAAATTGGACTCAGGTGCATTTACAAGGAGCATAACCTTACACCACAGAGTGTGACAAAATGTATTAAAATGGGGGAATATCGGTTTTTTTCGGATTAAAAGCTGCGAATATAAATTCTCAGTTAATTCAACAAAACACGAAAAGGAAGAGATGAAACTGTACATCTAAACGTGTGAATTTCATCTGTAACAACTCTTCCCTAAGAAAGTATACATTTAATTTATTTCTTCAATTGTGACGAATGACAATAAACATCAATCTTTAAACTTGAAGTAGGTAGCAAATGGTCTCTTTTTTCATCCATGCCGAATCAAAAGCTTTGTCCTTTAAGATGGTCGCAATAGGATCTTGTGTTTGTTCATACGGACCTTTAAAATATTCTCAGTTTTTGACATGGAGAAAAGTCACTAAAGTTCAAGTGAGCGTATCAGTTTCAAAATGGTTTTAAAATGAATTTTTCCTCTTTAAAATTCATATGTGGAATATTTTTAAAAACGTGAAAGATCACGTGCGTTTCCAGTTGCTTCAAAACGACATCAAATGTTACAGTATGTTTTGTTTTCTTAGAACCAGTCCTGCCTTCAGCGTACACCATACCACACAAATGGATTTTGTTGGTTGACATTTTGCAAAGTATTTGTTCAATTTGTTTTTGGCAGCTCATCTTCTCATCGCCAAACAATCCATTTGAGGTTAAATGGCGTGGCCCACTTAACTTGAGACGCCAGACAACATGCACGCGCAAGACGCGGCCCAAGGGTATTCTAATATAAAAGTAGGCGTGGTCAAAGTCACAGCAAGGTCACGTGGGCTAATAGACAGCTGTCAGGCGGCAGCACTGAATTTTTATAGTGGCACATGCAATTACGACGTGACATTGAAGGATAATTGGAGTTGCACAGAGAGCATGTGGAGGGAGAGTGATTCTTTGCTGATGGTGATGGGGGCTTACTAGGTGTCGTGGTCTAACTGCACTGAAAAAATTTTCACTGCTTGGCATTTAGAAAAAAAGTTCTTCATACACAGATAAGACAGTTTCAATAAATCAATGCCAACGGTAGTGTTGCAGCCTTGTTACATTTTCATAGGGTAAAAATAAGGCCTGTTTTTCCTAAACGTAATCATACTTGAGATTTTCCTTTTGCTTCAGATGAACTTAAATTCGGTTTGAATTTCATTCCAATGGAAACAACTCTTTAAATTTCATTACATGCTTTGTTTTAAGCAATGACAATTTTTTCTTTTCCCTTTTTTTAAACGAACTGCCAAAGTATATCAGTATTTAGTTATTGGGGTTGGCTTTCTCTACAGCTTGTGACAGTCGGGTAAGCGAAGAAGATCTTTCCTCTCTTCTCACCTCTGCAGCCCGGTTTCGATTCCCAGCTCGGTCCGCATGTGGATTAGGTTTTCAGTCCCCACCTGAGTCCGTTATTTTTACCCACAAATTTCTTCGTTGGGGGTTTTCCTCACACCTCTAAATCTGCAACTGCTTCTTATTGTCTTCTCTCTACAGGTGGATGTGGGTCGTTTGGCGGCTGCCTGAGGACCCTTGTATGCCATCGACTCGACCACGTTTAATATATCTTCATTGTACAGCGCATTTGAACTTAACTGAATAAAATTTGCGCTTTATAAATAAATAAATAAATAAATAAATAAATAAATAAATAAATAAATAAATAAATAATTAGTATTATTATACAGCTACAGGGAAAAATTCTGGAGGGTATCACGTGATGTTTGGTACCCAGACAATGAAATTAGCAAGTACAATGGATAACAACATCCCGTGGATCGAGTAGCATGAGAAAAAATATCCCTGTGGAATTCCACTCCGTCAAGCACCTCATAAGGGAAAAGAAGTATACAATTTTTAAAGCCCATAAAATTTGTGTTATTTATACTGGCGGAACTTCCCGCGTGAATGCAGGGGACATGAACGGCTGGCCATGCATCATAGAAAGGAGACTGGGAATTGATTGACGTGTGGACCCTGAACGTGCCACGCGCCGCTTTGATTCGGTCTGTCGGGTCGTGACTGCTGTCTTGTTTCTGGAAATTCTCGCTCGCAAGATTCCATACGAAAGTTGGACGTGTATGGAAGTTCTGACTCCGATCTGTTCAGTGAAAGTGCAGAGCAGGGGGTTGGAAAGAAAGCTGGAAGGGGTCACATTTAGTTAAGTTGGGGAGGAGACAAAAGGTTAAACTGTGTCAAAGTAGAGGAAAACGCACAATTTGTAGACACCAATAATTAACTTGCTCAAATTTGACAAAGGACAGACAGGGGTGGGCAAGGGGTCATGTCCCCCCCCCGAAAAAAGAATAAAAAAATCAACGAGAGAAAGAATTTTTAGTCTATTTTATTCCCCTTTGTTCCACAAATGTGTAAAGAGCCCCAAAATGTAGCCTCAACCCTCAGAAAGGCCACTAAAAGTTATATGAGAAATGTTTCAAACTTTTGGTCCACTATAAACAATTGTGCCCCCCCCCCGAAATGGTTCTAGATCCATTTTGACTGTCTTTCAAAAAGACAACACTATCATTTTTTTCGAGATTTATGCCAGAAAGCCTGAAGAGAATCAAACTTTCAGAATTACAGATTGGGGCATCCTTCAATTTGGAGATTTCTATACCTTGCCAAACAAAGTGTGAAAATAATAGAAGAAAACAAAATTACACAAATGATTTTCATGTTGATGTTCAAAAGGGAGATTCAAAGCAACGTGATTTGGAGAGAGGCCTTAAGTGGAACAAGTACAGTCGAACCTCGTTAATAAGAGCACTGTTAATACAAGATTCAGCTTAAGACGAGGAAATTGTCAGGTCCCACTCCTTTCTTTTCCATTGTTTTCATTCCTGATGATACAGGGTTCCTGTTATAACAAGGTAGTTTGCCAAGTCCGAAGGACCTGTTATTAACGAGGTTTGACTGTACGTTGTGCAAAAAAAGGGTTAATAATGGGCTTTTTGGTGCATAAAATTGTGAAAGATATCAAATCATTTAAATTGTGGAGCTAAATTGATTTATTTTCCAAAAGCCTATTAAATTTTTTTTAATGTGGATAAAAGTAGTTATATTTCAATTTGCAAATTCTGTTTTTAATTTAAGGGATTGTGGGCTTTTATTTTTGAATTGAAGAAATATCTGATCAATTTTCTTTCGTAATTTTTGAATCATTCATAGTGAAATTGGGTTATATTTCTTACAAGGTTGTTGATTTTTTTTTTACCAAGTACTGTACATGTACATGTACATGTACTTTCACTCCTATCGTCTGCTCGTGTTAACGTTCACGGACTAAAGACGTGATGGAATAAGCTTGCATGTACATGTATGTGTAAACCATTTGTCAACGGCATCTGCAATTCCGCAAGCACGCTTGCCAAGCTCAAGACACACGCAGACAAATCCCGTCATAAAAATTATCTTGGCGATATGTAATTAACACCCGTTAATTTCCTCCAAATTCGAGGTGACAGGTGGTGCGCACAACCACCGTGACGGGGCTGAGTAGGCGGGCTTCGCGTACACTAGCCCCGCCCATCACTGCACCGTGATTGACGGCCCAATGACTCGGGGCGTGCGCGGTACGCCGACACCAGCGCCTGCACGTTTTTCGGTCGCGGAGGCCCTGTTTTCGTCGGATTTTACCGGAATATTTGACAGAAAACCACCGTATTTAGGCTTGGAGACACCACCAGGGTAAGAAGTGTTCATTTAGTTACCTGTCTGACAAGCCTCGGGGTGATAAGTAGAGACTGAAGGCACTTTCTGGGGCGGGAAATGGGGGAGTTTAAAGTCGGAGGTTTTGGTCTTACGGTCATCCAGTCAGCTGGCTTAAGGTATTTTATACATAGGAAGTGCACTGCTGCATGCATGGTGGACGGCCGCAACAATGATGAGGCGAGCAATATGGGCATTCAGTGCATGCACGCGGGTATGTAGACAACAGGCGAGATCGTCTGGAATTATTTACTGATAGAGGCCTATTCTGGGCACATTTCAAACGTTCACAAGGATTTTTTTCCCACTGTAGCGTGCAAGGGTCTCTTTTACTTTTCTTTGAAGTAGACATCGTGCTTTTGTCAATTTTGTCGCAACATTAAGAAGGAAATTAAAATGACTAGGTCAACAACGATATTTGGGAACGTCATGTTGGTTTGGTTTTAAAAGTTTTCACGGCTTTCTGTCGTAAAACCTCAATGTGAGCTGTATCCAGTGGGGTTTTCTAACCAGCCTTATGCTTTGAAAATGTTCAGAAACTAGGAATGACCGTGCAATGGTAATTAGAGTTACAGATTTGTAACAAAGTTGTTTCTGACAAGGGATCATCGAGGGAACTATTAAGCACTAACTTTTAGATTGTGTGTAAAGTTTTATTTTAAAGACAGCTGTACCCCAACCACTTTCCTTGACCATATCCTCAACAATGGTCATCTGTTCGTTCAGGGAAAAGTCTGGAATCTGAGAAACTCCTCAAATCTTGTAAAAGACCTAAAGAAATGCCCACTGTGTTAATACACCTTGTTCATGTGTTGGAGTGGCATCCAATTGCTATGCTGTGATCTTTCCTCATTGAAACAACATGACAGCACCAACAATACTATTGTATAACAGAGTAGACTATTGCTATACAAACAAGATAATTATAGCCCACCTCAGATCATTGGTTATAGTGGTCAACTGCTTGTTCTGTGTATAGGGATTTTTGATGATAGTATGCAACGGCAATCCCCATGCTCTTTCAAAAGTGAGGTGGCCCACCTGATGAATTTTAGTGATCACTTTGGGCTTACATTTCATTACACAATTTTAAAAATCTGATAAAATGTGGAGACCTAAAATTTGGAAGTCAGTGCTTTATTATTTTTTTCATGTTCTGAAGTGAATTTAATGCATCATTTATGTTTCAGTAGCGTAGCTCATTTTGCAGCAAGTCACGACAAAAATCAGGTGTGGTTTGAAGCACATTTACACTGGTTCCCACTCATGAAAAGAAACACTCCTACAAATATTGAATGGTTTGGGTGCAAATATACAGCACTGCATTACAGCGCCAGTCTGTAGCACTTGTCCACTGATGTTGTGTTTCATTTGGTCAGTGGAAGAAATGTCACGCAGTGGTGGTTGGAAATGATCCAAATCATCAAAATCTTCGGTGAAGATGTGAAGTCACAGGGATCCATCACTTTGTGGATGTTCTGCTTTTATGCGTTTATTTCAAGATCAAACGTCTTTGTGAGCAAACCTGGGAAGTCACTGGTGTTCCGCGTAGAGGCTGGGTGGGTATATGTGGCAGGTCACCTTATTACCATGTGATAAGTCAAGTCATACAGTGCCATCCAGTATCCTTTCACAAGCAAGACTTACATTTTCCTTAGGGTAATTCCAGACATTAGGGGTCCGTTATTTTTTGTATCCCTGTCACATCGTACATATGATATTGTAAGTTCAGAACACATTTTCTGATTTCCAAGAGTTGGGAATTAATGCCAAGTACCTGCTAAACAAATAGTAACAGTTTGAAATCAATTCCGGTGATATTTCCATGTAAAATAAAAAGGTCAGATGTAACAGGGACACGAAAATGTCACACTTTTGGCCCCCTAATTTCTGGGCTTACCCCTTTACTTTGAAGTCAGTATTATTTGATAAATCTTAAATAGATTTCTTTAATTAATGAAAATGTTTGCATGTACTTCATGTAGCAAGTTTTGAAGACTTGTTGGAAGAATAATTTTCAAATGTGTGCGAAAAAAGGGAACCAACGGATGTGGTATTTCTAGATATGTTCTGTGTATTGAATCAAATCTTAGCAGTTAATTGGAAGATCATACTTTTCGAAATTCTCCTGAAATTGACTTTGAAAAGAAAGCCAACAAGTAGGGAAGCCTTTAAAAAACTGGCCCCAGTTACATGTTATATTGCATGTGGGCAGCTCAAGACATGTTTTATTTGTAATTTAACTGTGATCAATGACCGTACTCAGTAGTTGTAGCATAAAGTAATATATACGATGTTAGCTCAAACATGATACAGTAGAGTCATTGAAGACATGCATGCAAATGGGTGCCTTTCTGTCAGATTTAAACTTGCTAGACTATATGACATTGACATCTGTATCTGATACAGGATTTTATTGAGATTTGCATGTTTAGGGTTAGTCATTTTAAGTTAATGCAGTTGCTTGTTGGGTATTACAGATCTTTCTTGTGATATCAGATCTTTTCATGTTAACCAGATTGTGCAAAATTTCACGGCTGTGTCTTCCATGGAATTTTGCACTCAGCTGTGTGATCACCATTCTGTGTTTAACAGTGCTTGTTTGGGTAGTTTTCTGTGATTTCCTTGTTGTGTAATGGGACCCAATGCCCTTTTTCAACATTGGCTGATATGAAATGAGATAAACACGTACTTGGGGAGGCATCCATCCTCTCTGCATTTTCACTAAGCGTGAAGCCCTCTTGACACTCATCAATTTGGGCAGCCGGTGTCAGTGATCTCTCATAACAAATGCGCCAAGTGTTCATCTCGTCAAGTCCTTCAGATTCGCTTAGATCCTTGGATCTGCACCACTAGCCCTGATCATGCCCAGAGCAAACTGAGTGCAGTCAGCATCAAAGGATTCTGCATGCTTTGCAAGTGAAGTGCATGTATTTGAGACCAACACATTGTACCGGTACCTGTGAAAATTTTTAAAAGCCCATCAGTTTTGCCAGGGCTTCTGAGTTGTTTTGGCCTACATCTTTTGAAGTGTATACATACTAAGAAGCGGCTTTCTAATTATGCCTCAGTGTGCCACTCTCTGAGACACCTGCTGTCTTGTAATGTATTGTAAGCACACATTTGACACATAACATACAACCATGTAGCAATAATTCTTGTGGCAGGCAATGGGATTTTTGCTCTGGAGATTTTAGCAGGGCCCATTCTCAAAGTGCAGCTTAGCAGGAAATTTGGCTTCAGAGATTTTTGTTTTAAGGAAAAATAAAAGGGCTGCTGACAAGAACCAGTCTTATTTCACAGCGGTATCCATTGTGTGACAGTTTGACTGGCAGCCTACTTTTTCTCAGCAAATATCTTGGCATGCAGCTAATTCATGTGTTCATTGTGTCTAGATGAGATGTGGTCTTAGTGTCCAAGCAGATTCTTTTGAAGTGTTAGAGTGACTCCCGAACAGTTATATTGAATGACTAAGTTGTATTGAAAATAAAATGATAGCTCTCACAAATCCCTACGTAGTCTAGAATATTGGTACATTAGTAACATTATGCCATATAAGGCCACAAGCCACCGTCTCTCAGTTGAGGAGACAAAATTATCCCGCTGGGACTTTTTTCTTTCATTAGAGTTGCAGTTTTGCTGTCAGGCTGATTAGAGTTGTTCAGCACGGTATAATGTTGTACATCTGCTCATCTTAGCATTTCAGCCAATGTAGGTCAGGTACACTATACATATATACATGCACATGTGTACATGTAGTGCACAGGTGAATTGCGCACCTAAATTATGAATGCATGCAATTTATCAGTGGGGGGGATTTGCTTTTCTGCTTTTTCACACACACATACCCTTGGAATACCTGTCTCCACATCAGTTATTTTTATTGTGTCAATAATCATGGGTGTTTGGACCCCATTAAAAAAAACACATACATGTAGTTGGCTTTTACCCATGTTTGTGAACTTCAGTAAAGAAACAAGAAACCGTGAACAACAATTTGTTATCAAATCTAGGAGTGGGAGATATGAGACATGTACGTGTAGTGTGGGAATTTTCTGCACTATTATGTACATGTACATATACAGCCCAGGGCATACTGTACTGCGTGTTAAGTCCCTCAGAGACCTAGTTAAATCAGAGTTAGTGGGGAATAGGCCTGAAACGTAATCTAGGGGACACACACTGAGCTCCAAAAGCAGGGTAGGAAAGCAATCCAAGGTGGCTGTGTACAAACTTTGGTGACCCCAGAGGTCATGCCTTACAATGCTAGATCCCATTGACTACAGTAGAATGAGCTTCCTGTGATCTGATCCAGTGTAAAGTGTGTACACTTCTATGGTTGTAGCACTGTATTTACATTGTACAGTACTGTACACTGTACATGTACAGTTACATGTACAGGTGTACATGTATGTACTGTACATGTACTGTACACTGTAGAGGACACTGTGCATTCAGCTTGTCTGTCAGTGTCAGTCAGTCTGCAGCTGAGGGTGTAGTCTAGTACTACTAATTCAAGAGAGAATTTCTGGCCAGTTAATTATCATTAAATGTGCCCACACAGTATCTGTTGAAAAAAGAGATTTTTTGGCCCCTAAAATGGTGAGACTTGTTAAATCTTTGCTAGGATCAACTACCTTGGTCTTTGGGCTCTCATCTGAAAAAAATCAGAAAAATCACTTTTTAGGGGAGGGTGATTTTGTTCGGTGGGAAATGTAATTGGTTAACCCACAAAATTGAAAAGAAATTGAAAGAATTAGGGACCAGACCATAATTCAGATTGTGTTTCAGAAACCTCAGGGGTGTTGGTATGCATGTTATTGGGCCATGGACAGTGCCGATTTTGCACTGTTTTCAATGGGGCTTGAATTAGTGGACTGTTCCCTGGGATGGCAAGATAGGTCTGCCACTTACATGTAGTCATGCTCACTGCTCATGTATGTCTGTGGAAGACTGTCCAGTATGGCAGCCCAGTCAAAAAGGACATCAGAATTGTCCATTTCTTTCAAGGGAAATGCTATACAAGTACGTAGATTTCATCAAAAACTTTGTGTGTTCTTTGAAGACATGTTGGCCAGTTTCTTTGTCTGAATCAGGAAAAAATTGTGGCATCGCAAGAATGTTTTGTCCTTGAGAGAGAGAGATTTCAGAATCTACTAAAAACTCATTTCAGGAAAGCACATGGCAGATGTTAACAAATGAATTGTCTTCTAA